CATCAGCAACATGGCAGCGGCCTAGGAGTGTTTTTTTATTTGGCAGGGAAATATTTCTGCTAAACTTAGCGGGGAACTTTTTCCACTAGATATAACGAGAAAATTTTTCAGCTAAATTTAGCAGAGAGTTTTTTATCTTAATTTAGCAGGGAAAGTTTTCCATTAAATTTAGTGAACAATTTTTTTCCGCTAAATATTGCAGAAAATTTTTGCCGTAAATTTAGTGCGAAATTTTTCTGCTAAATTAAGGAGGGAATTTTTTCCGCTAAATTTAGCGGGGAAATTTTACCCTTGTGACGTCACGTGTGACATCGTTATCAGAAGCGTCCCATTTCTTAGGCACCCGTTTCCAAGTTGAACGGCGACGCCGCTCAACTTGGAAACGGGTGCCTAAGAGCTGCGCTGTAAAATATTTTAGCATATGTACCGTCAGTGCCATGAGAGGTCCATTTTAACCTCAAGAACCATAGTAAAAAAAGTCCGGCGCTTCGCGGACCATTACTAATTTCCCTCTTTATGCGGATAATTAAAAGATATGCAGGTGAATGTTAGGTTAGATATATCTTATCTTATCAAGACGTATACGTTTCAAGCGCCAAAAGCATCGCTTTTTCCTCCAACAATTAAGTCTCGTAAGAACTACTTCGCACCGCGTATGAACAATGCGCAAAAGTTGCTTTTTTCTTGAGGTGAAAACGGGTATAGTCCTGTTTGTTTGACTTGTGAGTGTTTTTTGTGGGCACCCCTCTTACCACTTTTTTTTTGCTACCATATGCCTTGGGTGTTCATGTCAGTGTGCCATGTTTGGGGTATTACAAAGAGGTCAAATGCTTGCCTCACATGAGCCACAGTATATTTGCAATTTATTATTTTCTTAACCTCGCAGGTCGATGCTGGCAACCATCGCAAGATCTGGCAAATGGCCCATTGTTGCGTTGCTGGCCAACTCGTTTTTTGGGATCTTGCATTTTCTGTGCAATGTTCTTATACCAGTCCAGCATCATTGAAATGAGTTTCTCATAGCATAAAATGGATCTCAGTTATTTAGATGAAGACAAGCGCTCGACCTGCCTGATTGCATTCACCACCACTTCATTTGTGCAAAATAAAACAAGTGTGATGCAGTTGTCTTGCAACACATGCTCTTGTCTGGAGCTTTAGGCTACAAGATGTTAGCGGTTTGTTTTGTTAATTGCATTCTTGCACTGGAAGCAGTGCTTGCTTACTCGAGTAGCTTGTGATTTTTCATACGTTTATAGTGACACATCACTGTATGGTACCTTCAGAGGAGTATAGCATTCACTGCAGCCTTATATGTCGTAGCAATTCCGAAGCCCAAAAACAAGGCTCTCTTTTTGTTGCTCATGGCTATGAGGATGTGAGATGAGCTGCTTCAATGAATGATAAAGTACACATGAAAATTTGTTGCATGAATTGGTAATGCTCTTCAGTTTTTTTTATTAACTTGAAGTGTGATACAGTGATGTGATTGCTGCGCCAAGGAACTAACCCTGCTACTTTTTGCCAAAACACGGGTAATCTGCGCCCAGCCTGCGCAAAAAAAAAAAACAATTTCGGTCGACTTTTTAAACGTACCGTACTCGAGCATGCCTGTGTTATGTGGTGCAAGCGGCTGCCCGACACAAAATATGCTGCATCATTTGTCCATCTGCTCTTGCATAGTTTTCCGCCGTCTCGCGTTTTGCGCTCTCGTCGTCTCGAGGGTCTCGTCTCGCGTCTCTTTTGTAAACATTTTCAGCGACAGCCGCTTGTGTGTGCGGACGCTGCGACGCTAGCGTGCCGGCTACCAGCCATGCCGTCATGCTGTGAAACGAAAAAAACCACGAATTTGCTCGGCGGGAGTTACTTTGTGAGCTGAGGCACTTGCTCCTGAAAGCAACGGCTGTGGGATAACTATATTTTGGTCCCTGCTTTCCAGTCACCGTGGTCGCGCGACATCGGGTGTTGATGTCCCCATTTCGCTGCAGATACGGCACTTTCTAAACTGAAACTAAATACTGCCGCATGTTCATCAACATCCCTGTTCTTGTTTAAATCGTACGTTACTACAAGAATTCATCTTTAACTCAAAGACTGCTGTGTCGAAGTATTGATTACTTAGATTTCTATCGGTTGGCTGTCTTTCTAGGGGGGTCCTTAAGAATATCTGCTCCAAAAGGCACTTTGCTGCTCCAAAACACTGTTTTGGTTGGTCCAAAAGCCACTTTTCCTGCTCCAAAACATTGTTTTGGCTGTTCGAACAGGAGTCGAACCGCTTGTTTTTTGTGCGATACTTTCTGCTGAAGGCAGTGCAAACTTGTCAGACTTGTCTAATGTTTGCACCTTGACATTGCAATTTTGTTGTCTTTCACTTTCCTTGTCTTGTCTCTGATCTCCCCAACAGTACCGGTCGAAGCAGCCTTCCCGGACGATGGCGACAGCGAGAGCGACTCCTCTTCCCGAAGAAGCGAACTGGTTGAGTTGCAACCCACGACGCGGCCACGATATGAGGGCATGTACCACTGCGAGTTCTGCCCTTACTCCAGTCATAAGCTTTGTGATGTCACCAAGCACAAAAGGAGACACACTGGAGAGAAGCCTTTCCACTGCTCTGTCTGCGAGAGAGCGTTTGCTGTAGTCGGTATCTTACAAAATCACATGAGAACTCACACGGGTGAGAAACCATTCCGTTGCGAGGTTTGCCAGAAGGCGTTCGCCAGAAACGAGGGCCTGACGATTCACAAAAGATTACATACAGGTGAGAAACCGTACAAGTGTGGCACCTGTGAGAAAGAATTTTCACATAAATCCGGCTTGTTGTGTCACGAGAGAACCCACAGTGGGGAGCGGCCTTACAAGTGTGATACCTGTGGGAAAACGTATATACAGCGTTGCCATTTAAATGGCCACCGGAAACTAGTGCACGAGTGAGGAACCTGCTTCACGCATTATCTGGAGTTGTGGAAGAATTCTTTCATGTTTCACCTTGCACTTTGCTGCCTGTCTGTTGTTTGTTTAAATGAAATTCAGAAATGCAGGCACATTCATCATCTGTAAATATTATCAGTTACAATTAGGCAACAGCTGTAGTACTGCTATATAGCATTTTTGTTTAATACACTTTGGCAGCTTTTAAAAAGCTTTGTGATAATTTTTGTTTTATGAAGTATAGAGCTACTTTTAATTGTTAATTTTGAATTAATTGCATTCCGGCTTAGTAAGGCACCTTGAATTCTATGTCTAGATTTTGTGACGACATTTTGAAAAATGATTTTTCTGAAGTTATGTGGATTTCATGTATTGTTAACCTAGTTCTTTGATTCTCCTCCGTTCTTTGTGGATTCAGTGAATCGCGAATAAACTGCTTTCCTCTACAAGGCGTTGCCTTACTGCCTCACTGCTGTTGATGAGATTTCTACGAGCAACGGGCAATACCAATGTAAGCTTTGATTTCAACCATTTTGAGCTTGATTGATCTTTGCCAGCTGACAGTGGGAGTAAGCTTTTTGATGTCACGGCTGGACCATTTGCGTCAAATTTATTTTTTCTCCGCTACACTGCTGTTTCTTACGATAGGCATGTAAATAGTTTAAGCATTTTACTGTCAGTTTGAATGGCATACTGTTCGGTTTGCTACTCCCCTGAAACACACAATGTCCTTAGAAAATCTGCAACATTTTTTTTATTTTCGCAGTCGCTTTGTGCGTTTTAAACAACCAAGTTGAGGTCGCCAAGTGCTTGTGCACTGTGAAGAAGCACCACCAGGAGGTAGACTGCATTCCTGCATATCTCACTTGGCTGCAGTGCATCTTTCCATTAAACTCTAAAGGATAAATTTTATGCTGAGTTGCTCGTTTTGTTGCTGCTTCTATATAGCCCTAAAACTATTCAAGGTCACAAGCTCTCGTTGAAATAACTAAAAAGGCTGGATCAGTGCACAAATGAGTGCTTGAGATTACTATCAGTGAGTTGAGCTGGGTTTTTATGTATATACAGACTTCTAGGGCCCGTTGCTTAGAAAATGTAATGGATTACAATTACAAATTACTGAGCCCCAAATGTAATAGATCACCGTTACAAATTACTTTTGTTAAAAAGTAACCGATTGCTTGTTACGTTACAAATTACTTTCAAGTTACTTTTCCCTTACACTTATCAAGAAAACAATCTTGATATTTTCAAAAAGTGTTCTGCAATACTACTTTCCATTTCTCATGTTATGTAAAGTTGGTGTTTTGGTTTCATGGTGAGTCCTGGTTTCTGAAACATTTCTGCAACCATTGTTACCTTAAAGGGATACGGAAACAAAAATTGAAATATTCAAATTTCGTTTGGAAATGAGTCGAGCATGACGGATAATAACAGTAAATGATAATCGCACGTTTGTATTTTGAACGACTGGATATATTTTTCGTTCCAAATGGTGCACTTGAGCAGGCGCTCGAAGAGAAGCGAACAGAGAGCATGATGCATCATGGGGTATCCGGCGCAAACAAAAACAGAAAGAAAAGATTCCCCGCATTTGTGACATAACAAGGCTGGCGTGGTTATGATCTTTGCCCTTGGTGGCGTTGTCAGCGTTGTGGTGATGTCAATAGTGTCAGCGCGTTACAATCGAGCCGTTCGAAGAACCCTTGGGGTGAGGAGCGTGTGGCTGGCCCAAGGAGCACATAGCTTCCACAACACTGTCAGCTGAGGGCTGAACTGTGTGGGAAAGCAACTTTTGTTCGAGTTCTGAGCGACGGGCTAATCTTCAAAGGGGAGAATGGCTGTGTCCGGTTGCACGAATGAGAGTCCGAGAAAGAGGTGAGTCCTTCCTTTCCATCTTCTTGGACCGTTTGGTACAATGCGCGATTTGTGAGTTGAGCTAGGAGGAAAGCTAAGAAGGGAAAATGTTAAAATTCCAAAGAGCGGCGCTGCTCCGAAGGAATCTTCTACGTCACGACTACGTAGCAAGTTCCCCAATGTTGCTAGGTTACGTCCCAAATAGGCTCCGCATGCATCCACCAGGTGCACATTGAAAGATTGTTTATTTAGCTTTAAAATTAGTTTTCTTGTGCCTTTCAATGGAAGACTGCTGTTTTTGAGATTAGAATACAACATGCAACACATTCAAGCTAAAAAATTAGCGCTGGAATTTCGTTTCCTTAGCCTTTTAAGAAGTTTAGGAACATCAAATTTTGTGCTATCAGATTTTTCATTTTAGCGTCTTAGTGGAATAATATTTATTTTACATTTTACATTGGTTCACGTTTTCTCTGCTGCAGTGAGCATTTCGAAAGAAAAATAATGCATCTTTTCGCAACGGTCGTGCTGACCTATCTGGTACTTTCAAACATGACTGGACAGCCAGCCAAGTGTTTGACGGAATCAAACTGCCTGTCCTAAGATGTTTACTGGCAAGCTAAGGTACAAGCTATGGACAAGCTATGGTTATCACTTTTTTTTGCTACGATATGCCTTTGGTGTTCATGTGAGTGTGTCATGTTTGGGGTATTACAAAGCGGTCAAATGCTTGCCGCACTCGAGCGACCGTATATTTGCAATTTATTCTCTTCTAACCTCGCAGGAAGATGCTGGCAACCATTGCAAGATCTGGCAAATGGCCCATTGTTGTTTTGCCAGAGAGGCTTCTTCCCACTGGCCAACTCACCTTTTGGGTGCATGCATTTTCTGTGCAGTGTTCTTGCTTATACAAGTCTAGTGTGATTGAAATTAGTGTCTTATTGCATAAAATGTATCTCTGTTATTTAGATGACAACAAGCAGTCAACCTACCTGATTGCATTCACCACCACGCCATTTGTGCAGAACAAAACAAGTGTGATGTGGTTGTCTTGCAATGCGTGCTCTTGTCTGGTGCTTGAAGCTACAAAATGTCAGCATTTGGTTTGTAAATTGCATTTTTGCACTGGAAGTGGTGCTGGCATACTCAAGTAGTGTGTGATTTTTCATAGATTTACAGGGACATTGACTGTACAGTGACATTTTGCAGAACATTATTACAGTGAACAGAAATCACTGCATGATACCTCCACAGTACCATAGCATTCAGTGCAGTCTTATATGTCATATTGATTCTGAAGCCCAGGCAATAGGCTCGCATATTGTTGCTTACGGCTATTAGGATGCGAGATGAGCTGCTTCAATGAAAGATAAACTGCACATGAACATTTTCTGCATGAACGGAATGTGCTTACCAATTTTCAGTTATCTTAAGGGGGGACACTGCCCAGAAAAAACTATTTCTGCAAAAAGAAGTTGATTTTGAAAAAGGGTATGTATAGATCCATCAACATCTGGAGAGTATTTCCAGAAGGTTTCATTAGTTTACTCTGGATAGTTAATGTTTTATAAATTAATTTCGGTCCACCGATGCTAAAGAAAAGGTAGAGGTTGGAGCACTTTGAATGCATTTTTCTCCATTTCAAGTTTTTCTGGAGTGAAATTGTAAGGGGAATATTGCTATAAGCTTGAATTTTTTATTTTTGTCAATTTTCATGCTGAAGATCTAGCATTTTGGACAAAGGATGGAAATATAAAAAAAAACAGCAGTTGTGTTTAGTGGCTTTTTTGTCATTGAAGATCGTATAATATAGAAATATAGCTCCATAGCTATCTGCTCTGAACTGTTCTAAAGCAATATAACATGAAAACGCCAAATTTGTAAGTAATTTCAGAATGATAGTTTTCCTACGCAGACACCACTACTTTCATCTTTGACCATGTCCAACTTTTTTGTGCTTCACCCAAGTTAAAAAAATTTGGCACAAATGTTCTTAACATGAACAGATACAAGCCCTGTAAATGTCATTTAAATCAGACAAGTGGTTCAAAAATTCACTTTTTTGGGTAGTGTCCCCCCTTAAAGTGTGATTTCACATAAATGTAATGACAGCCTTTATTAATACTTTAATTGTTCTTTGCCAAGTTTGTTCTCTTTCTTCTTCAACGAACAGGAGTCGAGATGCCCATTTTGTGTGTGCTAGTTTCTGCTGAAGGAAGTGCAGAATTGACAAGCTTGTCTAATGTTTGCACCTTGACATTGGACTTTCGTTGTCTTTGACTTTCCTTGTCTTGTTTCTCTGATCTCCCCAACAGTGCCGGTCGAAGCAGCATTCCGGGACGATGGGGAGGGCAAGAGCAACTCCTCTTCCTTGAGAGGCGAACTGGTTGAGTTGCAACCCACAATTCGGCCACGACATGAGGGCATGTACCACTGCGAGTTCTGCCCTTATTCCAGTCATAATCTTCGTGATGTCACCAAGCACGAAGGGAGACACACTGGAGAGAAGCCTTTCCACTGCTCTGTCTGCGAGAGAGCGTTTGCTGTACGCGGTAACTTACGGATTCACATGAGGACTCACACGGGTGAGAAACCATTCCGTTGCAAGGTCTGCCAGAAGGCGTTCGCCAGAAGTAATGTCCTGATGATTCACAAAAGAGTACACACGGGCGAGAAACCATACAAGTGTGGCATCTGTGAGAAAGAATTTTCACATAAATGCGGATTGTTGTATCACGAGAGAACTCACAGTGGGGAGCGGCCTTACAAGTGTGATGCCTGTGGGAATACGTATATACAGCGTTGCGATTTAAACAGCCATCGGAAAAGAGTGCACGAGTGAGAGATCTACGTCATGCAATATCTGGAGGTATGGAATAATTCTTTCATGTTTCACTGTGCACTACTGTCTGTCTGTTGTCTGTTCCAATGAAATTGAGAAATAGAGGCACATATATCGGCTCTAACCATTATCAGTTACAATTAGGCAACAGCTGCAGTACTGCTCTATAGCATTTTTTGCACTTTGGCAGCTTTTAACTTTATGATTATTTTTGTTTTATGATGTATAAATCTAATTTGAATTGTTCATTTTGAATGGATTAATTGCATTGCAGCTTAGTAATTGTATTCTATGTCTAGATTTTTGTGGTGACATTTTGAAAAGTGATTCCTCCAAAGTTCTCTGGATTTCCATGCATTGTTAACGTAGTTCTTCGATTCTCCTCCGTTCTTTGTGGATTCAGTGAATCGCAAATAAACTACTTTCCTCTAAAAGGCATTGCCTTACTGCCTCTCTACTGTTGATGAGTATATTCTACAAGCAATGGGCAATACCAATGTAAGCTTTGATTTCAACCTTTTTTGGACTTGATTGATCTTTGCCAGCTGACAATGGAAGTATGCTTGGTGATGTCACGGCTGGACCATTTGCGTCAAAATTATTTTTGTTCCGCAACACTGCTGTTTATAATGATAGGCGTGTAAATTGTTGGAACGTGTTGTCGTCACTTCGAGTAACATACTATTGGCTTTGCTACTTTGCCTCAAACACACAATGGCATTGAAAAATCTGCTACATTTCTCATTTTCGCGGTCGCTTTGTTCATTTCACTTTTGTTTGGTACCGTACACGATCCTCGGGAACCTAGCCCTTAACAGTTCCGCTGTAATAGATTTTGCATTCACCAGAGTTAAAGGGATTGTCCGGTCGAAACCGGAAGTACTTAAGTTCTTGCGCTCGTTACGTCGAGGGAGCCTTCATATAGACAAACGTCATTTTTATTTTGATATATGATCTCCCGTTATTAATTAAACCTTTCATGATCCTATGTACGAAACTGCACCCCGAATTTCGCCAGTGTCAATGGCTGACATTCGTATGTGCTGCGTGACGTCACAAAACGCAAAGGTTTGTCGGATGGTCGGGATAACAAGCGGGATGTCTTGTATTTTGTTTCGAATTATATATAGTCTCCTAAACAGTACGTTACTGAAATACGGTTCTTTTAATGCAGTTCCCAGGCACGCGCAAAAAAAGTCACACCTTTTAGAAGGATATTACTTGCAGACAACCATAAGCTTCGAGCAAACGTATGCCGTTTCGCGCAAACACAACTGCGCCGGACGCCGATCGAACTAGGGGCGCTTGCAAAGCAAAGGATGCAGATTTCGCCTCTGAAGCGGCACTTAGGTACACGAAGCGGCACCTGGGTACACATTTCGGCGGATCCACTGGATCGGTAAGGAGGCTGCGGGTCATTCCCTTGGAGGCGACGTCCGTGGGTCGAAGGCAAACGGCGAACCGTTCAAATGCGTGTCGTTACTTGACTTGGCCGAGCTTGGTGAATCGTAGGTATTACGCTCCATTTTCACACGCGGGTCAAACAGATATCGGGCTGCACGCGTGCTAAATACAACTTCTGGTATCATTTCGAGATGGCCAAGCTGTTGGTTTCGGTTTCGCTGCATAATGAAGGTCTGTTCGATTCGGCCAGGAAGCTCTGAACTATAGTCGGTTACAAGTCAAGAAGGTAGCGGCAAATGCCCCTCAAAGGGAATCTTTGCATTTCGACGATAGGTTCGCGGCATCAGGGTGATTTTGCGTCGGGAGTCACTGGCGGCAGCGTGCGGTCGGTATACCGGTCACCTCGAAGACGAAGGCCTGACGATAGCGTCTTGGCCAAGACAATTATCGACCGTAACCTTGGCGTCAAGTTGTAGCGAGAATCGGCAAAAAAATGCAGATTCTCAGTGTTTTTCCCAGGCCCGTTAGTGGGCGTCCACAGATACCAGCGGACAAAGCATGCAGTATTATGCTCAGCTACGGGGACATGCGAGTGTCAACGCACTAAATCCCAGACCTCTGCAATGTATCGGAGTCGTCAATATGCATCCAAGAGCAACTGAAGGCGGAGACTATCAAGAGGGCAACACCTTTCCAGTGTCTGTAAGTAAGAATATCAACACTGAATCCCCACATAGCATCAAAAAGAAACAATTTACGGGAGCCAATATTTCAACACTCACCACAGGGAGCCACCTACGCGAGCAGGTGCCTAAAACGCTTTTAGAATATCATACTCAAGCAAATTCCTACCCTCGGTTATGATCTTAATTCCGCGTCCACCGCGGGTACGTTATTATCATAAATGAGAGGAAATGCAACCTCCGTATCGGCGTTATTGTTAAACATCGCAGACATTTGAGCAAGCGCTGCGGAAAATGGTACCGCGAGCAGAGACGGACGAGGAGTTCTGCTATAGCCGTCTGCTCTTGTCATCTGCTTCTGCACGGACGCTGAACTGAGTCCGGATCCCGGTGCAAGATTTTGAGGAACTGGGTCTGAACTCGTTCAGAACTGGGATGAATCGAACGCGCCAGTGCAGCGGTCGTGCAACTTCCGGTTGAATCGAATGTACCAGTTCCTGCACTGCCGGACTAGTTCAGCCAGTTCAGGCGAATCGAACAGACCTAAATTGACTGATCTGATTTGGGCGAGGAGTGGGCGGGCGTAGTTTAATATCGTTGGCACAGCATCACACCTCAGCTTACAAGCCTTCTGTCCGCTGAGAGCTCAGCTCGTAGCTTTCTTCTGTGAGATAATTGCTGCATAAGCAGGATCTCGATCTGGACGGGAACCCAGTCCCTACGTACGACGACGATCCACTTTGCTCGTCATTGCACGTCTCGCGGAAAAGTGTGGAACGTCATGTCTTGGCTCGCATGTGCTGCCCGGTGGTTGTGGCACCCAACCGCGCAACAAAAATCTCACCCAACCACGAAACAAGTCAAGCACAACAAAAACGAAGCACGCTGAGGTGTTCGCTCGCAAGCAAACAACGGGACGAAAATGCTCGCTTTGTGTTTTGTGACGTCAGAGCTTCAATGTTGCCAACAAAAGCAGCGTTTACGCTAGAATGCGATTGGAGCAGTATAAATTCAATTACTCACGCAGAAATGCATAGAAAATTCGGATATTGCACGTACGATGCTTCTCGAGGCAATTACAATGATATTCAATTGTTTTCTCGAATACAAAATTTGACCGGACAATCCCTTAGCTGTGCTCCTGCGCACAGCTGTGTTGCAATGTGCCAAACTTGTTTTAGCCATAGAGTTATTATAATGTACGCTAGAGGTTCAACTGGCGCTAGTGTCTATGCGACTTCCGTGACGCAAATTGAAGCAGACAGCAACTAGTCTACTTTTGCGGTGCTCCTGTGCATTCCTATGGGAAAACGCGCGTGCATTCTGCCTCTTTGCCGGAAAATAACACGGAACACTTTGGTTATTTGGGTCGTACCGAATAGTATACACCTTGATTAACACTGTAAAAGTGTAATTGCTTTAGTTAGCGCATTTTTCTTCATCAGTGAACGATGTTTAACTTCGCTACATTTCAGTCCAAAACGTGTGTTCCGCAGCAGGTGTGTAAAAACAAGCGACGATTTAAAGCAAAATTACATTCGAAAGGAATATAGAGTGTGTTCAAGGCTCGCGAGCATTCGGGTGACGCTTTTATATAGTGATAATATGCCAGTCCTGTCACTATATGAAAATGACCCCGTCGTGCATGAGCGGATAAAAACATTCAAACCGTAGAGAATAAAGTCCTTAGGTTATGAAAGGTGTCTCTTCGTATTGTCTCTGCCGGGCAGCTTTTATCGGGCACTTGGGCTCAAAGATTTCGAGCGTGCGGGTGATATTTTCAACGTAGAACGAATATCATCTTCGCTCAGAGCTGAAAGAATAAAGCGGTACTTACTTATTTAAAATCGGAATAGATTACGTGGCCTTCAATTTATTTTGATCGTACATGCACAGGTATTTACTGATCCAGTGTTACTGCGTAGTTCTTGCCGTCTCCCTTAATTTCTAGATGTTTTTTCGTTCGTTTGGCACGTATATCCCCCACGCTGAAAAGCGCCGACGTCGTGTTCGCGCTAACAGTGTCCGACAGTGCACATAAATACACGTACGAAGCTGTTTTAGCACCGTTTTTAATGCGATGAATTTGAAAGAAAAACACCGTAACTGACCAATTATTTCGTCGGCCTGACTGAGAAATGTTCCAAGCTACCTAGTACGTACGAATTATTCGGGATATTTGCTCTTATGATCGAGCGCAGAGAGAAAATGCACTCACTTTTTTCCATAGAAATGCATTACCGGAAGTCAATTTTCGACTGGTTGCTGTCTGCTTCAATTTGCGTCAGCACACTAGCGCCACTTGAACCTCTAGCGTACATTATAATAACTCTATGGTTTTAGCTGGTTGCCGATACCGATACTTCTATCCAGGTGTGACTTGACAGTTGCTGCCGAGCAACTGCTCGTCACCAACTGACGCTTACCTCCTCCTGGATCGAATACATGGCAAAGAAGTTTGTCACATTGGGGCTTCTGCTCGAAAGAAAAGCAGAAACGTTCATAAGTTCTTTGTTGTCGGCCCTGCGAGCCTATCCTGACAAAATAAAAATTAGTAAAGCTTAAGCCCATGGAGAACTCTGTCCATTTTGTGTTACGCCAGTGAGTGGTAGCGCGCCCCCATCTCTTTAGAGGCGCCGCGAAAACAACTGTCGACGGCGGAGAAGCGGCCTTTGTGCTGACATGAACGTTGGTGTTGACGACCTGCGGCGCTTGTTGCTGGAGAGTGTACGTGCAGCACAGAGCAGTTGTTCCCGTTGCTCCTGTCACAACGGACGCAGTCGTAGCTAGCGTGCTCGTTGTAAGTGCCCGAATGACAGTTTGTGCAGTCCGGAGCTTAAAAAGAAACGGCTGCAGTTTCACCGCTTGCCACTCGAGGAACCACGTCGAACCACAAAAAATTGAAATACGACTTTTTATTTCCCCGGCACCGACACGGAGGTGGTGTGGCAGATCTCTGAGGCTCCGCAAAAATGATAAAATCTCGAGACTTACAGTCGTACATACCTCGAGGTGAATTATTTCGTTATGTAACTTCAAGGCGTTGAAGTTACTCAGCCCTCGGCGCGTGGATTGCTCAAAAACGAAACTGAAACTAGAGTGGTCTGACCCATGTGAGTTCGGCGGATTACAAGAAAAGTTAACATTTATATTTTGGGTTTTCTGTTCTAGCTCTGGGAAGGAAAATAAATATTTACGAATAAAAAAAATAATTTTGCGCTTTGAAGTATTCAATTTTCACAAAACCAGACAATCCAATCCAGGATGTTGAGCGTTAGCTTTTGTTAGCTTTGGTTGCTTTGTGCCCGCGTAGTTCTTGAACATGCGTGTGGGTCTCTCGGCTCTCC